ATCTAATATAATAGTTCGCACAACTGCAATGTTTTCAGGCGATATTAGTGAGCCCGAATCTGCTCGTATGTCACATGATGGTCATCTAATATAATAGTTCGCACAACTGCAATGTTTTCAGGCGAGACCAGCTTCTTGGTCGATCTGCAGTAGAAACAGTGCTGACCAACACACGACCGCGTCGGAACTTGGCATACAATCGGTATATTGTCGCTTGACTCGTTGCTTCAACATCATAAATCGAAACAAGTTCACTGAGACATTTATCTTGAGATAAGCCGCGACGAAAATTGCGATAAATATTGCACGGAAATGTTCACGCGTGAGCTCCATTTCTGTTAACGACGTGTCAACTTTAAACCAATATAGTTTTCAACATAGTTCATTAGTTAACAACCTGTTACATTTGTCACAAGCTCTGTTCTTTTCTCACATAGGTTTAACACATTCGTTGAAAAAAGAAGTACGTACCAAGACTGTAGTAGCAGACTGCTATTATGTACCAGGTTTTTGGAACTAATATTTTTGTGGTACTGGAACAGGCGGAACATATATGCTAATTTACCTATTACAGCCACTGACATAGAAGTATATTTATATCTCTACGACTTGTATACATAGAGGTCAGTGGATTACAGCCCACACTGCGCCCCCTTTTCCCTAAAGAGGGTCGCTTCCGATTCAGCAGAAAGGCCTCAAAAGCCAATGCCAGTCTCAAAGGAGGTGTTTAATGGGGAGGCACTTAGGTTAGGTTAGTCGCAGCGAGTCCCACATAACAGTCGTTATGTGGGACTCGCTGTCGGCTGTCGTGGTTATGTGGGACTCGCCTCCCTTTCTCCTCGCTTTCCCTAGGGTAGCCCTTTTCAATTGCTTCTGTGCGCAAAAAAAATACAGCCCACTCCTAACACAGATTATTAAACGGACGTGTAATAGTAGGTATAGGTAAGTAGCAACCCAAGAATCTATGATTTTGATATGAAATTACAAACAAAAATTCTTAGGATGCTATCAAATCAAAACGCACATCATGTTGATTCTGCGCTAATTACTATTGCTTAAAATTATTTTCAGACTACGATTTTTATTTTTACACGCTTAAAATGAAGCGTGTAAAAATAAAAAATCATAGCTTTGTAATAGGTATGTATGAATGTAATAGCATTTTGAAGTTAAGTTTTTTAAATAATTTAAAATTTCGCAGACGTACAAGAAACCAATAGGTAACAATACAAATTACTTCATAACTATAACCTAATATTTGCATTTGAAACATCGCAGCTCAAGTGCAAAGTGTGTTGTTTACTTTATCACAGGATTTTTATAATTTAATTTAAATGTTATTTTAAAAAACAGTTACTTCGAATAAATAGTGAAAATAATTTACCTTTGCTTTCATCATTTTAGTCTTCGGTATTGACGTGAAAAATTCTACTACTGTAAAATAGACACTGCCCGAGTAAGAAGAATTACAAACTCAAGAACCCAAAAACTCCCCGATCACACTCTTAATCTCATGGCTTTTAGACGGGGTATGAAGATGCAGTCTTCAACAGATTTAACAGCATACAGGCAACTGAACAGACAGATCTCCAAGTGAATGCGGCGGGACTTACGCAACTTTAATACTGCTCGTATTGAAGAAGCGATTGAGCGGAACCAGGGCTCCAAAGTCTTTGCTAAAGATATGTCTGCCACAAAGAGCCAATTGTCGAAGCAGAAGACTGAATGTGGCGGCGTCGTTTCCGGAACACCTGAGATTTTGAGTGAGATTGAGAGGTTCTGTGGGCAGCACACATCATCGTTGAAGACACACGCAAGTGTGAGTAACGATCCAAGAGCAAGTCTTATCTGACACTATTCCGATGATATTCCAGACGTCAGTCTGAGCGATATTAGAATGGCTCTCCAGCACCTTAGAAACGGCAAGGCCCCAGACGAGGATGGAATTACAGCGGAGCTTCTAAAAGCGGGTGGAAAAACGGTACTTGAAGTCCTTCAGAAGCTCTTTACTTCCGTCCTCCATGGTGGCATTACACCGGAGGCGTGGAGCAGAAGTGCGGTGGTCTTGTTCTTCAAGAAAGGTGACAACGCTCTCTTGAAGAACTACAGACCGATTTCCCTTCTGAGCCGCGTCTACGTGCTGTTTTCGGGAGTCATTACGAATCATCTCGCAGACTTGACGACTTCAAGCCTCCCGAACAAGCCGGTTTCCGAAAAGGCTTTAGCATTGTTGGGTATGTGTATGTGGCTGCGCCCACCGCTAATTATTGTGTGAACAATAAACAGTGTTAAGCTAGCCAGCGATCGTATCACTTGCCCGTACCTATATTTAACCAACATAGACCACATACATACCCTTCGGCAAATTGTACAGAAATCCGAGGAGTAGAATTTGCAACTATGTCTGGCGTATGTGAACTATGAGAAAGCCTTTGATTCTGTCGTAATTTGGGCGGTGCTGCAGTCCCTTCAGCGGTGCCAAGTTGACTGTCGGTATATCGAAGTGCTGAAGTGTTTGTACAGTAGGGCTATGATGGCTATGACAGTATAGAACCAGAGTACGAAACCTATCCAATTGCAGAGAGGTGAAAGACAGGGTGACGTTATATCCCCGAAACTCTTCAGCGCTGCATTGGAAGACGTTTGCAAGCTTCTGGACTAGAAAGGATACAGTATTAACATCAACGGCGAGTACATCACTCACCTTCGATTTGCCAACGATATAGTTCTTATGGCAGAATCGCTGGACGACCTAAGCATAGTGCTTAATAAAATAAAGCTCAATGACCTCAATAGTATTTCCCAACGGATAGGTCTTAAGATAAACATGGACAAAACAAAGATCATGTTTAATGTCCATGTCACACCTATGCCGGTAGTTGTTAGGAGAACTAAGCTCGAAGTTGTTGACGAGTGTAGTTACCTGGGATAATTAATACGACTAGGTAAGTCCATCTTCAACCGAGAGGTCAATCGACGGATTCAACTCGGCTGGGCAGCGTACGGGTAATTACGTCAGGTCGGTGGAGTAGCGTGCCTTAGAGGGTCCCTGTATCAACATTTGTCGGAGCACCCAAATGAAGGCGAAAGATTTTTCACAACAGGAACCAAAACTCTCGCACTGAATTAAAATAATTATATATTGATTATAAATTATTACTTACAATTATTACTCCTTGGAACTAAGCTAGCCAAACAATTCAAACCAACATCCTGTCCCATAGAAGTCCTTAGAATTTTTGCTACGTTTAGAATTTTTGAATACGTTCGGGGCCTCTGTATCCCGGGGGCCCCGTATCATTGATACGGCTGATACGGCGGTAGCTACGCCCCTGCGACAGGTATAGAGTCACTCGAGGCAAGTGTGACATACCTAAATTAATTAAAACTAAAATCAACATCTAAATACTTTTACTCTGTAAGGGTTTAACATAGATTATTCCGTTTCAAAACATCAATTATAAAATGATTGTTTATTTGATCAAGCATATTAGTATCTGTAAGTAGCATTTTGTGATTTGAGCAAATTACTAATTAAGGTTGAAGACTGTCACACTTACCCTATCAATGAGGCAAGTGTGTCAGTACGCTTCTTTTGTAATTACTTAATTATTATATGTAGTTTTCGAGAAAATTGATGAGATCATACTAATGTCAATATATTTTATAATCTATTTGAATGATTTGAACGTCTATTTTTGTGTAACAATGGATTTTTTTACGCATGGGGTAAGTGTGACAGTTTTTAACCGATATAGTGATGTGCCTATAAATGGATTTATATCACACTTGTCCTGGATGTTTTGAAAGTGTAATAAAATTAATGCTAAGTGAAAAATAGCTTTAATTCCGCTTAGTTGCAAAATACGGGAAGAATGAGGCGGTAGTTTTAGAAGGGTAATATTGTTTTCGTTAGCCTTTATAATAATATTTAAGTCAAGGTGTGTTGTGTGTATTACAATGGCCGTCATATATTACAAGTTGTGGATTGCCTGAGTTGCATATTTCCGTGATCAGTATATTTGAAAAGTAACTTTCGAAGACTGAAGCTTCCATCCAACCCTTCGGCGTAGCGGCAAATGCCGATTTAATCGAATTATCATCAGGTAACCATGTATTCCAAAGATACGTTCCTTTAAAAATTATTAACGGAGTTAATTTCTGGCCACAGGCATTGCATGCGATCAATACAGTTGTATTATCGCGGCCTGGTGAACTAGTGGTTCTTGTGACTTGAAAACCTTTTAGACCAATAATTTTCAACTTTCCTGGGTCTTGACAGAAACTTGTTTCATCAAGATATCATTAATTGATAACCTTTGAATTGTTGCTTTTGTACAGACAAAACATCGTCGAACTCGTTGGGAAATACTAGTCAGCAGCTTTTCTTGAGGTTGTTTGAGGTTTTTTAACCGATAGTTTGTTCCTTGTATTTAACCACTCGTCTCCCGGAATCCCATCTTTGAAGTGAGTATCGATTTCATTGCGACGAACATATTGGCCAACTAAAGCCCTGACTTTACAGTACAACTATCACTTGTCATTTGTCAAATGAAACGGAGAGTTTTGGCGGGAACTTGACCGGCGGCGGTTTGCTGCTCCTGTATTATAGTTGAAATAATAGTTTGAAGTGGATTTTGATATGTAAAAGTGGTGCGATTTTTTATATTAAGTATCTACGCATGTGAACTATTAGTGGAAACGGTGAAACAAGTGCTCTGATGGTGATAGATTCTCAAGATAAGCTGATTGTTTGCATAGGCGCCTTTAATCATCGCCAACTGTCAGCTGCCAGACGCATCAACACATGTGAGGCAGTGGCAGTGGACTATGAAGGATAATTATACATAAAGATAAGGCTGTATGGCGTAGTTCCTTTGCCTGCTCTCTCGAGCGAATAATAAAAACAACATCAAATGAAACGTCAAATTTGTCTTCATTAAAAAAAAAATAGTTCTAAAATAAGGTAGTGATAGGTTAATAGTGGCTATATTTACAAAATGGTACAAGGGGATCAACCTCCACATGATGATAATTTATTCAGAGCTTTTGCTAATGCTCTATACGCAACGGTAGATGCCCCAGTAACGTGGTTTAGAGGTGCAGTCTAATTACTTTATTTATAATAATGTTGTTATGTAAGTCCTTAAATTTAAACTCGTAATCTTTGTCCTATTGCAGAAAAAGTTGTAGAACCAAACCAGAAAAAATATCCTTGGTATCATCGTCAATTCCGTCGCGTACCTACCATTGATCAATGCTATTCTGACGATCCCGTATGTGATTTCGAAGCTAACTCTCAGTTTAAACGAGACAGGTTATTTTCACAAATAATTTTGTTTTTAATGGAACACTTATTTGCCACAAAACCATTAATATTTCCATGAATCCTTATCATACACATTACACTACAGTAATAGTTTATTAATAGTAAAAGTGAATAGGGTTTAGAATAGAGTCTCCTTAATAGGGGGGTGGGGGCGGTGGGAAAGGGGGGGAGGGGTAGATTAGGGGTAGAATTGCATGGGGGCGCTTGAGATAAACCCCCCCCCCTCCCCACAGTGACAGACTTCTCAAATTCAAGCGACTTGATTCTAAATACAACCCGTAAAAATCATTAATAATCATTATCATTATAGCCTATCACAATGCCATTGCTGAACAGAGTTCTCCATGAAGGAGAGCCACAAAGCACAGTTCGAGTCACCTACACCTATCAACTTCCTGCATCTTTTACCATGTCATCACTCTACTGTCTATTGGAGGAGTAAAAATTATTCAGATTAATACACTTAGATTTCTTCTATCTCTGTAAGTTAACTGCTGGATTGCTTAGAAATTTTAGTAATCTGTCAAAACACTCACTTGTAAAATACAAATTTATAAATAGTTCTATCATACGTGGTAGAGCCATGCTGCAGCTATATTAATTGTATTGTTGTAGCATGAATGGATCGGCTCGACTGGGGAAATACCATGCTCTCACAGAATACCAGGGTAAAATTGCAGCTTCATGCTACTGTGTTTCATATGGTGAGTGTAGAGAACAGGAGACCCTTTTTACTGGAAAAGAGGCATTTCATCTTAGTCCTCACGGCCGACAACGCATCTGCATTTTGATTTGCAATCGAGGATAGATATATATGTCTATGGGCCACAGCAACCACTTACCATCAGGTGGACTGTGTGTTCGCTTGTCACCCTTTTCCTATAAAAAAATAATAATATATCTGTCTCCAGTGCGATCCTGTGGTGTACTGGATTGTACTTAACATTGTTGATATAAATTAAAGACCAAGACTGGAAAAGAATATCAAAAGGCATTGTCTGCCTGCCCTTTGTTATCCTATTTACTTAAATGTTCATGTGCTAAAATGTAAAAAAAAAAATACTCAATTTACTATTAAAGTAGCATAGAAATAAACTTTTTTCAGTTCAATCAAAACATCCTCAGTTTCCAGTTTTAATAGATTATACAGCCATCACAAATAAAAAAAATATCAGAGTTTTCTTATAAATAATTTAAGTGTAGAATCTGCAGAAACACTTCTGTGTAGAATTTACATAAAGTAAATTCCTTTTTTTGTTTCATGGTAATAGAATAATAACAATAAGTATATAACTCAGTATTAAAATCGAACTCTTTTTGTCTAGATAAGGAATCTCTAAACATTTTATCCTAACATACTGTAGGAATGTTGGACACAATTTTCATTTCTTCAAATTCTGTGTAAATAGTTGTGTTGATGGTGCCTGCGGGGCTTAATTTAGAGACTCCTGATCTAGACATTTTATGATAAATTTGTTATGTGTAGGTGAAGAATGGAAGATTAGTAACGGCCTAGGTCTATGACTTTGTAATATACTACCACTTTTTTGACAATATTTGTAAAGAGAATGATATTGTCTGTCACCACGATCTAAATTGGTCTGGTTATTCGAAATAAATTAATCTAAATCAATGCAATATATTTTTGTAAAATAAATATGAAAATTGTTAAAAGTATATTTATACAGCTTGCTAATCCAAATTTCACATTCAGGGCTGTTGATTCAGAGATTCTTAATATTCTACGTATGCGATATGAAGATTGTATGATGTATGAGACTCCAGACCATCTCACTGTTTGCAAGCCTTTGTGGGAAAAATACAAAGATGCTGAGGAGGCATGGTTCATTAAATGTGAGTAGTAATTTTAATTTTTTATCAATATGAATAATTATATTCACTATATTTTAACTGCCTTAATGGCAATATAGACACAACATGTTTACTAGACATATATGGTACTGTACCTGAATCTGGTTAAAATCAGTCTAGTCAGTCTTGAACACCAGCACAGAGTAGCCAGCCTTTTGGCTTTCTACAGGAGGCATTTCGGAGAGTGTGCGCAGGAATTGCATAACTTAATCCTCCCTCTTACTTCGACCATCGGACAACCAAATGTTTTTGTCCAGTCTGTGTGTTGACTTACCAGGCATTTGAACCAAACCGGTTGATATATTGTTTGTCATGCATACAGCAAATCCATCTGTCTTTCCATCCAATTACAATGTGGGTTATTTTAAGATAAGAGTGAATAGACTTGTTAAGTCAGTGTGCTTCACCATTTTAGGCTATATCACCACTTACCATCAGGTAGGATTGTAGTTAAGCGCTGGATTAGAATAGTACAAAAAAACCTATCAAATTAACTAAAGCCTATATTCACAAACATTAAGTACCTTGGGAGATGACGTTCTATGCTTCTTGGATACAGGGGTACACCAAAGAAGAAAGTTCCCTAAGTAGTGTTAAGTTTTGTTTATATTTTATATATATGTTTCACAGTGTGTTTAGTATAGCAAGCCATTAATTTCATGACCAATACTCATGGTTCAGTGGTGTGATGATGATGTGATTGGTTGTGATACAACTTCACTCAAGTGGACTGACAGATAAAGAAATGTTAAATGGTCAAAAGCAAGGCTGTCGTTGTGTAATTGAATTCGCTCTTCCACAACATAGGCGCCATTTGCAATAAATACTATAAAAAAACTTATAGACACTGAAGGGCCTAAAAAGGTTGATATTGCTTATTAATGAAATTTATTCTTACAAAGTTACGAATTAAAAGATTTAATACTACTTGCATTATTATTATAACAATTTTAGGTCTGTCCAATTTAATAAAAATTATAGTAAAACAATTTTGACTATCATTTTGGTGTCAACGAAGTTAGCGAATAGACCTGGAGCCAGAATGTCATAAACAGGTTTTATAGTAGCCTATTTAAAATTTTATAAAAAGCAGTGGTCTCGAGTTCTCCTATTGTGGCTATAGCCATAATTGAATTGATTATACATACATATAATCACGCCTCTTTCCCGTAGGGGTAGGCAGAGACCACTTATTTCCACTAGCTACGATCCTTACATACTTGTTTCTTGCCTCACTTCTTCTTTCAGACCACGTTTCCTTATCTCACTATTTCTTACTTCACTCCTCTTACATTCAACGTAGCAAAGCGGCCCTCTGTGGGCCGGTTTCGCCCCCGCGAGAAACGAGACGTGATGGGTGGCGAACCACATCGCCGCCATTTTGGTTAATTAAATTATTTTTACGATTATCCATTGCGTTCCCACGAATAGCGAGGGAAAGGTTTGTCCCCCCCAGCAGAGCCCCGCATGCCAGGGTAAGGCTAGCCTAATTCTGGGGTCGCCCAGACCCAGGGCAGTGTGGCACGCTAACGACTAGGCCCGCCCCTAGCCATGCATCCATCCGCGCGGCAGACGTTGGATTAGCGGAGGGTAGGAATAGGAAAAGGGGAAGGATAGGTGGTGGTATGAAAAGGAAGAGTAAGGTAAGTTAGGGTGGGAAATAGGAAATGTAGGATATTACCGTCCAGGAGGGCAAGGGATAGGACAGTAATCGTAGATTATAGGCCTAAGCAAATTTTGAAGAGGACAGAAACAGAAAACGTTTCGCATATGGCTGCAGCATGAGTAGATTCGCTCGACTAGGGTGGCAATGAAAAATATCAGCTTAATTATTATGCTGTGTTTCGTATGAAACCGACCATACATAATTTATGTATTCATATAAATGTGTGGTTTGACTAGGATTTGAAGCGCGACATAGTAGATATCCGTTTTCTGTATGTTATAAAAATCTGGAATAATCGTTGTGCGCTTTCCTATTCTAAATATAAATCAGGAAATGCTCTGTAACGCAAGCAAAGGTTCAGGCCCTAATAGGTAATGCTACTCGTAATAATTTGCGAAACCTATAATAACTTGAGATATTAGAAGTTAATATGTTTTATCGCACTCGGTGACCGTGTTTCTCTAAGATTCAAACTAAGTCTATAAGTGCTTCCTGTAGGTAAAATAGTTTTGACGTTACAAAAATTTCAAATGGAGGTTCAAAAAAGCAAGGCACTTGTGTTTTAAAAATTACCCCTTGATGACTTCCCGTAACTACAAACCTATCCTCCGTTGATTGCGCGCAAAAGAGTCGCAACTTTACACAAACCAGTCATTTATAGAATTATTTTGTGTATAAAAACCTATATTTTACTATTCGTCTTATACTCGTAGGCAATAATTGATATTATAATACTGTTTAGTAGAAGCTGTTCGTTTGGTCAAATTTTTTTTTATTTTACTTCTGTTAAAGTTACAGCCTATATACGTCTGGCTCTGCCTCTGCTGGGCATAGGCCTACTCTCATTTCTGAGAGGTTTTAGGGCAAGGAAGCTTCCGCCGCGCTGCCCCATAGCGTGTTGGCGAACTTCACATGTCTTCGTAATATTTTTTTTTTTATTTCTCAGACATGCAGAATTTCTCACGATGTTTTCCTTCACCGCCGAGCACGTAGTAAATCAGCACTTTAAATTGCCATTAACAATTTCATTGGTGTCGGCGGGAATCGAACCCGGGTTGCTCGCGTACTGTGAAATGAATAGCAAGCGCTAACCATCTGAGCTACCACGGCTCTTAGTTTGTTTTAGTTCTGTGCGGAATTCCGATCTGTTTCGTCACGCGAAGAATAGAGCTTATTTCACCAAGCTGACTGCCAACCTTCGCTGGTCGGAGAGGCACCAGAAGAAGATTGTGCTCTGTGATGTATGCTTCTAGTGCTCTTGACTTGTATTTTATGTTTTATATTTTTGCAGATGGTGACCTCGGAGCTTATGCCGACGCCAGGAAAGCTTACATGAAACAGAAACATCGCATCATTTGGGAGAAACGTCATGGGCCGTTATCTGACCAAACGAAGTGAACTCTGCAAAATTGAGCTTTAAATTAAGTAGATGTTGCTGCCATTGCAATAATATAAATAAATTCTAGTGCATAAATTTGTTTTTTTATTTGATAAAATTTACCATTATGTATATTATATACTTTTATGTAGGTATTATGTTGACCACTGCGTAGTTTAGTAGTCCTAGCTATTAGGTCATGGGTCCTGGGTTCAAATCTTAGCCGCACCAATAACGTGTGTACGCATCTGTTTACATTAGGGAGTACGAGCGCGTTGTAGTACTATAATTTCTAAGTAGTAAGCAGTTAATGATTATTCACTATTTAGACGATGGGCGTCGAGGCAGAGGTTAGACGGGAGGAAGAGAACATCACAATATAATGAGAATCCTCTTTGAATTTTGTTGTATTACGAGTTAATGCAGTCGATGGATGCAGGTGTCTCAGGAACGTGCTTTGTGGCATTCTTTGGGGGAGGCCTATGTTCAGCAGTGGACTTGTGAAGGGCTGTAATGATGATGATGACTAGTTTATGAACGATTTTTTGTAAATATTTTGTGGCATAGGCCGAAATTTCCGATTTCACTTCATCATCGTCGCCTAATTTTTTGCACGCAGTTCTTTATTCATTTTTGGAAACAAATAATAGTCGCTTGGGGCCAGATCTGGGCTGTAGGGTGGGTGGCGCTCTTGTTCAAAACCACACCGGTGGATGGTAGCCGTCGCAACACGGCTTGTGTGCACCGGCGCGTTATCGTGTAAAAGGAGCACGCCTTTTGTAAGCTTTCCTCACCCTTTTTCTTTAATAGCTCTTTTTAATCGGTCTACTAAAGAAGCGTAGTATTCTCCCATTATAGAAACACCACGTTCCTTATAATTAATCAAAAGGATACCTTCTGTGTCCCAAAAAATCGTCGCCATGATCTTTTCGGCTGATTGAGACACCTTATACTTCTTAGGAATATACACCTTATACTTCTTTGGTGTGCCTTTTTATGCCACTGCGTCGACTTTTGCTTTGACTCAGGTTCATAATGGTGAGCCCAAGTTTCATCGCCAGTTACAATTCGGGCCATAACTTCCTCCCTTTGCTCTCCACAGCGGTCCAAAAACTCGCAACAACTTTCGATGCGCTCGTGTTTTTGATGCGCAGGAAGCATTCTCGGAACCCATCTTGCACAGACTTTAGTCATGCCAAGGTGTTAAAGTAAAATGTTTAAAATGGTTGTTTCTGATACTGCAAGCTGTTTTTTCTATAGCCGGGCATCTTCCCATACAAGTTTTTCAACTTTTTCGATTATTTCTGGCGTGGTGGTAACCTCAACCAGCCGTCTAGGTCGGGTGCTGACAGAGAGCTTTACGCCGATATGTTTGATATGGTCGAAAAACTGACTTTTCGTAAAGATATTTTGTAGGTCTTGGCCGCCTGCTTAAAAGTCGTCTTCTTAAAGCTGATAATCGGTGCTTTGCGGTCTCGAGTGCCATGGATGAGCTTTACCACCGAAGCGAATAAACGCACTAATTTATTTATAATCATTCGCGGAGAAGCATAATAGTATCTTATGGTATTTGTTAAATGATATTACTTGCATGCTTAAATATACTGCGATGAAGAAGTAGAGAAAATTATAATATCACAAGAATGGTTTGCTGGGAGATATTGATGAATGACACGGCAATTCGGAGACTGCATGTAGTGTGAGATTCACATGCTCAACCATAACTTCTCTTTCGGACTGAATTTGATCCCGACTCTCTGCTTACGCATATATACCGGGAATAATTCTGTAGTACTACCAACACTTAGTAAGATTTTTGAAAAAAATATTCTTGATCAAATGTTAAATTTCTTTAATATAAATAATTTACTTCATAAAAATCAATTTGGTTTCACAAGGGGTCGCCCGACAACTGATGCCGGTGTTGAGCTGATTAAATATATCTTTAATGCCTGGGAGAATTCACATGATGCTTTGCGTATATTTTGTGACCTATCCAAGGCTTTCGATGTGTTCACCATGAAACATTAATCAGGAAACTTCAACACTACGGTGTAAGAAGTGATGCTCTAAAATTAATTATTTCATATTTAAGTAAGAGAACGCAAAAAGTTGTCATTAACAGTATGAGTTCTTCCGGGTCGATGGTACAAATGGGCGTGCCTCTAGGCTCAATTCTCGGCCCCTTTCTGTTTCTTGTATACATTAGTGACCTTGTAGTGCCGTAGACCGTGCCTTACATAGTAGGATGATGATGATATAGTATTATTTAGTTGTGTATCGCTAGCAACGCAAAGTCGGGAATTTGCATTTGGAAAAATCCAAAATTAGGGGCTTTTTAGGTGCTAAATTTAAAAATTAGGTGCTCTAAAATTTTCACCGCAACGAACTGTTGAAATTTGCAGTTGTGTATCGCTAGCAACGCAAAGTCGGGAATTTACATTTGGAAAAATCCAAAATTAGGGGCTTTTTAGGTGCTAATTAGGTGCCAAATTTAAAAATTAGGTGCTCTAAAATTTTCACCGCAACGAACTGTTGAAATTTGCGTTGCTAGAACTGATAAAGAACAAAAATACTGTTCATACATTATGGTAAGGTAATGGTGGTCGTGGACCCTATAATTCCCAGAATAATATCGTAATCTGTATCGGGTTTCGATAATCGATCTGCAGCACTTAATTAGCACATAATTCCTTGCTATTAATATTTATCGTATATATCTAGTAACGTCATCAGCGTTGCTAGCGATACGTTTTGCCAGCAACGCAAATTTCAATGGTTCATCATCATCATCATCATCATTACAGCCCTTCACAAGTCCACTGCTGAACATAGGCCTCCCCCAAAGAATGCCACAAAGCACGGTCCTGAGCCACCTGCATCCATCGACTTCCTGCATATCTTACCAGGTCGTCACTCCATCTAGTGGGGGGACGCCCTACACTTCGCCTGCCGGTACGAGGCTGCCACTCGAGAACCTTTCTTCCCCATCGGTTGTCGGTTCTTCGAGCTATATGGCCGGCCCATTGCCACTTCAGCTTACTAATCCGTTGGGCTATGTCGGTCACTCTAGTTCTACTGCGGATATCCTCATTTCTGAGTTTATCACGCAGAGAAACTCCGAGCATAGCCCTCTCCATAGCTCGCTGAGCGACCTTGAGCTTCCTCATCCGGCCAGCAGTGAAGGACCACGTCTCAGTTCCGTATGTCATCACTGGCAACACGCACTGGGTGTACAGTCTCGTTTTCAAGTTTTGAGGTATACCTGACGAGAAGATGTGCCGTAATTTCCCGAACGTTGCCCAACCGAGTTGAATCCGTCGATTGACCTCTCGGTCGAAGTTGGACTTACCTAGTCGGACTATTTGTCCCAGGTAAACATACTCGTCAACAACTTCGAGCTTAGTGTTCCCAACAATCAAGTTCAATGGTTCGTTGCGGTGAAAATATTGGAGCAACTAATTTTTAAACTTGGTACTTAATTAGCACCTAAAAAGCCCCTAATTTGGACTTTTTCTGAAAGCAATTTTGATTCTATTTTGATTTTCAGGAAATCTGAATTTTGCATCTGCTATGTTCTGATTAACGACTTTATTTTTATTAGGGGCGCCTTGTTATTGCGTATATTTGCAGCACCTAATAAGCACTTAATTCCTTGCTATTAATATTTATCGTATATCTAATAAATTCATTGCGTTGCTACCGAGACGTTTTGCTAGCAACGCAAATTTCAATCGTTCGTTGCGGTGAAAATTTTAGAGCACCTAATTTTTAAACTTAATAATAAAAGCACCTAAATAGCACCTAAAGCCCCTAATTTGGGATTTTTCCAAATTCAAATTCCCGACTTTGCGTTGCTAGCGATACACAACTCACTGGAACCACCACAATTTAGTTCTAGACCTAAAAGAGTGATACACCAATAAGTTGTTCAACCCGAAATTAATTGTACCAGTAGCGTGGCGCGTATATGGTACAAAATGGAATATAAATATATCCACTCTTCTTCTTCAAGTAAAAGAAGATACAGTTTTGTAATAGTGACATCACTGAGATGTCTGCCTTTCGTGTCAGAGCGAGCTAAGCTGTGCGTTAACCTCAACATCCAACGCTTGCCGCACGCAACTCAGTTCCGCTCTAGCCAGCACACATCTCCGCTCCAGTCTAGCCTGTACGCATCTCCGCACAGCTTCGTTGGATATAGCCTAGCTGAAAAACATCTTTTTGTCTCCATTTTGGTGGAGTCCGGGGCTGAGGCGACAATGGGCAACAAAAACTGCAGTTGCCAACCCGCCTGCCAAGCGGACAATTATGGCTAATATCCCCCTGATGAGGGCACCTCCCCTATGGGGAGGCAGTTGTTCAGCTGTGAACTTTGATAGGCTATAATGGATGATACCCATGATCATTTCTGTTGATCCATTCATTAATTTCTAATCAAAAATTCCATGCTGATCACAGACCTTTCCCATATATGATATTTATGTTCATATTTGTAAATGCTTAGATCCAATTTTTTCTCATTTGATTTATTAAAATAAAAAGCAGAGTTCGAAAAATAACATTTATTTCCAACACTACATTCATATTCATGCATATTGACAATATTCTAGTTTCAGACGTACATTGATTTACGAGTTGGAACTACAACAAGAAATGAAGATCACAGAGATACGAAGATGTAAAAACACCGCTAACATCTTCTTACTGTTCTGAAAATATCTTACACCTACCTTATTCTTATAAATTTAAAACTTTGTTATTGGTCACAAAAGTAAAAACAATATTATCTTAAAATACTTAAATATATATTTGCTACAGTCTTAAGAAATTCAATTCAATTATAAATATAGGATTATAATACTTTAAACCATTTTAAGATGGTAATATTGAATTGAACTAAGAACATTTATATTTTGTCATTGTTTCAAAATACCAAAACAACACGAATAAAAAATAGACAAGAAGATTTAATAATTTTCTTATGACAACGATCAAATCTAAATTCAATATATTGGAC